CTGTTCATATAACGTTTTTCTATATAATCAACAGTTTTGCCGGTAAAAATAAATGTATGAAGAAAAAAAATAATTTTTCCTAAAATATTAAATTTTTTTTATTTTTTAAATTCATAAAAAATCCAAAACGGAAAAAAGATAAGTCGTATTACTTTCACGCAAAGTTACATAGCCTTTAAGCAAAATGAGACATAGATCATGAAAATCGATGGACGCGTTTCGCTTTTATTCACAATTAAGTGAAGGTATCTCATTTTGACATAAAATCAATATATATACATATGTACATATGTATGTATATGTATGTATGCATGTTACGTATGTTTGCATGTTAATAGCACATCTCTAGAGGTCTTAATACATGCTAACTAATTAGTTATCATGCAGGTAATAGTTAACCTAAAATAAGTATAAAAACCGTGAGCATGAAGAATTTTTTATTATTGGCACTACAAGTGACTTATAATCGGTTTTTAGCTAGCTGAATGCAAACTGACTTTGTTTGCGACATCACGTAAAAGTAGTCGAGGCGTAGTCGCCCCTGGTGAACTTGTAAGTACATTTATAGTTATTTGAGTTCCCTACAGAGTATGTATACTAAGCATTCAGAGCGGTGACAACACACACACATATACATACTGCAGTGAAACACGCTTAAACAACCCCCCTTCGCTTAAGTTACCAACATTTTTGGGCACCGTAAATTTTTTTATGTAATCTGAAGAAAATCCCTCTCTTAAGTACCTCCCCGTTTATTTACTCAACCCGCCTAGGTATCTAAATGTTTTGTACTTTATTGACCATTTTACTTATAGTTTTCCCCTTTTAAAATTTCTTAACATATTTACAGTGTTCTACAAAATTTTATTTTCAGATATTTGTTAGGGAATAAGCTGTATTCTAATTAAAAAATCTTAAAAATTAATAAAAAAATATAAGTAGCAAACAATATTATTTCGAATTTGGTAAAAAACGAATGCACGACGACTCGACTTCTGCCCACTTGCACGTTCTGCGTAAGCCACCAGAAAATAAACACTTTCTACACATAACACATTTTCTGGGCGTTCTTTGGCAACTACACACTTCCGCAAATATTTCTGCATCGAAATATTGCATAAATGCTTGTGTTTTAATACAATTTGCAATAAAAAATAATTCATTTTAAATTATTTGCTATTGAAATGACAAATAATTTTTATTTCCAACGCAAAGAAGTAAACAAATGACGATTTCAAAACAGCAAGCGCCTTACAGGCTAACCTAATATTCACGCACGCCGCCAATTTATTGTCAAAAATTTCTCATGCACATGCAACTTGTATGAGATCAACCTAAATTGAACGGCGTGCGTATGAACTAACTCAATTTCCAATTTTTGTTCTGCGTGACATTTTGATTTGACGTTTCGCTCAATGAAATCAAATGCAAACGCATGCAAGTCAATTTCGGGTGACGCAAAAAAACAAATTCGACGGCATGCGTACCAAAACGCAAGCCGCGAATATTAGGTTAGCCTGTTACAATGTTGGGCGCTTCGATTCATGAAGCTTTTATGATTAGGTGAAAACATGATGATGAATCGTACTGCACAGAGCTTCATTGAAATACTTGTGTTCGGCATAAAAGCTTCATACTTAAGTATGCTGAAACAATGCTGCTATGATTAGGCGCTTGATGTGCGGAGTGCCTTTAAGAATTGAATTCTTGTAAAAATGACAAAACATTGCTTTATATATTTTCCTTCATAAAGTTTTCTTTATGTGTTGATGTGTTTACTTAATGCTACGATCTTGGTTTTAAACTGTATACGTATACCTCATTCAATGTTCATGTTTTATTCAAGGATTTATTGTAAGCTGAGAAGAAGATATAACTACAATAATTAAGTACCCAACTCGCCTAAGTGCCTCAAAAACCTGACATTTTTCCTTAGGTACTTAAGCGGGTTTTACTGTATATGTTTATCTGTACAAATGCACTAATCGCGTGCTTCAAATTAAACATTTGAAAGCATATTTACATGTCCGGCTGTAGCTGAGTGCACAAAGATGCTTGCCACAATTTGTTGATTTCCAGAGAGTCAGGGTTCCATTGCAGGCAACATGTAAATTAAATATACAGCCTTATTGCGAGAGTCGTGTCCAATGCAAGTCGTTTTTCGAGAGTCGAATCGTATCTAAAATTTTATGTCATTGCCTAAAATTTCGACTCGACTAGTGTATTAAAATGGGATTACTTGGCAGCACTGCATAGTTTTCGACGATCTTCTTCGTTTACTTATTTCAGCATGACAGTAGACAATGCCAATGTTGTCGACTCGTACAATTTAGCGTAATTTACGACTCACGCAATGAGGCTGATATATTTATTTTGGTTTTTATCATGAGTATTTACTTCACGGATGCTTTTTCAAAACGAACGCTTCGTTTTAATATGTGCGTAGTTTAATGTAATATTTACTACTATACAGTACTTTCATTGACGTTTATAGTAAGATCAACTACGTCTGCATTTGATTTTAAAATTTTTCCCGTCATTATAGAAAAGGGAATTACACTTTTTTCAAATGGAGACAGACCCGGTCTAAATAATAAGTGGAATCAAATAAAGTCATATCTTTAGCTAAAGCAAAGTTGTGAAAATTTTTGCAAAAAAATTCGTTTCGCCAAATTTCCTAGAGGGAGAACCATAAGAACAAGGATATTCTAGAAGACAAAGGTGAAAGGACTTTGCCGACATATACAAATAATGCACTGGAAAAGAATATTTAAAGATGTGTTACTAACAAATATCTTTATTAATATTATTCAAAATTTAAGATGATATCCCTACGGAACAATTTTCTTTTTTGTTTTTTTTTTTTAAGATATTTCTCAGTCAGTTAATTGAAAATATAATTTATCCATTTAAGAACATAATACGCAGTGCATTAGAATTGAATAAATTGTAAAGAATTATGACCTTATTCATAAAAAATAAAGTAGCTTTAAAAAGTTTTATAAAATGACATTTTCAAACAAATTTTCGATTAAGAAAGCATCTAAATTCTTTATTTTTGTGAATTTGGGTGTTGGAGGAACCTGATTATCAGGCAGGTTGTGCATTTTACTTCCGAGTGAATTTGAGTCAAGTTCGCTTTGAATTCAAATTGGCAGGGGTTGAAATTCACTCGAAAGTGAATTGTATTCGGAATATAAAAATACATATTATGATTCCTTTTTTCATTTTTATAGATAATTTATCACTCCTATGCTGTAATCCGTCATAGATTCGATTTTGCTACGAATCGTAAAATTGGTATGCTGAAAACCGCGTTGTCGTATCGTAATTTCGAAATTCGGAGGCCACCTTCGAAATTCGTAATGTTTGCGTGTATTCCTGAATCCGACGTAGCTATCATTTTTAGGTATTTGTCGGAAATTTTTTACGAAGAGAAACTAGTGTCGGAGGGAAAAAAATTGTTTTAAAATATCAATAAAATAAAATGTGTAAACGCAAAAATATGTAAGTTAAAGTGTAAATAGAAAAAATTGGATTAAAAATAAGTATTTCCAACATATCAGGCCGAAGACCACAACAAATCGGTCGCAATGCGAAAAAATGGTGGAATGCATGAGCGAATGGCCGAACATTGCTCGAGGCTTGGCAAAATGTTTTAAGTTATTGTCAATGTTTTTGAGAACGTGGATTGCGCCAACCCCACATCTAAATTTTTCCCCAACACCATGTTGGTAGCTTCCTTCAGCGAAAACCCTTAAAAATGCCATCATTTTACCGATGATGATTTTACACTTCGCCCAAGCTCTTCCTCCATAATTATGGGGCTTTCGCTCAAGGCGATTTTTAGGCAACTTTTGCGTTCAACTCACGCAGGGTTGCACGAAAAAAAAATTGTATGGCTAAAAATATCAAAATATAAAAAAATATAAAAATATTCGCCATAAAAAGGCGTTTGCATTGTTCAACTTTGCATTCTACTTTTGGTTGAACGGCCTTTCAACTAATCGCTTTCAAGAAAGTTGCTCGCCAGCCAACATTTAGCCATTCAACTTTTTTTTCGTGCAACCCTGCGTGAGTTGAATGCAAAAGTTGAACGCAAAATCACCTCGTGCGAAAGCCTTTTTATTAAAACGCGTCTTTGTTGATGAGGAAATTTTTCACAAGCTAAATGGATCAGAACTACTAGCAATGTCCTTAGTATATTTATGAAACTGTTAGCTGCATCATAGGGATGGAAAGTTTCGAAAAATAACACTATGCGACAGTCAAAATCGGGATGGGATGAAACCAACGGGAAATGTTATATCTGTCAAAAGCAAGTTATACGTGTCCCGGCGTTTTGCTGGGTCACGTCTAGGAATCGAGATATATATATAACTATCATATAGGGGAAATTGTCACCTTTGGTGGTCTTTTTTTGACATAACTCGAGAACCACTAGTCCGATTTTGCTCAAACAAATTTAAAAAAATTAAAAATTACAACTCCTTTAATCTGTTCATATAACGTTTTTCTATATAATCAACAGTTTTGCCGGTAAAAATAAATGTATGAAGAAAAAAAATATTTTTTGCCTAAAATATTAAATTTTTTTAAAACTGTTGATTAAGGAAAAATCTTTTCAAATGACGACTACATTTTTTTTCACTATTCACATGCGATTATATTTATTTTGATTTGTTTCTGCCAAAGCAGCTGATTAAGAACTTCGAATTTCACGCTTTTAGCTGGCAGTGCCGTTGATAGTAACGATCGGATTACAGCATACCAATTTTCGATTATTCGGAACGGAACTACGAATTCGTAACTACAAAGATTCGGATTACAGCATACAGGTGTATGTCTAAATGTATGCTTGTATGTTAAAATGTATACATTTGTATTCGACTTTAATATGCCTCGGTACATCTACATACATATATATGTGAGTATGTATGCACACACAAATAGCATTAAGGTAAGTCCAAATTTAAATTTGGACTATTTTTTTAACTTACCTTTTATAACAAACTGCTGGAAAAATAAGCAGATTTTGGTTTAAAGCAATTCCTTGGTTTGATTTATTTCTTATTATGGCCTACTTCTGTTATTTAGGCGGGAAATTCCAAAATATTTAAAAGCACAATATTTTTTAAATTTTCCCTTGTAAACAGTTTCTCTCAAAAACAGTTTGCACTTAAACAACTTTTTTTATCATTAGTTTTACTGTCACTATTTTCACTCGAATTACAAATTTATTACTGATGCTTTTGATACGGCAATCAGCAAAAATCTTTAGAATTAGACAATTAGGGTTTATCAGTAAAAAAAAAAAACACTTCACAAATACATATACATACACACATATGCATGTATATTAGAATAGGTATGTGCTTATTTCAATGCATTTTAATGTTATTCCCATGATTTTTTATTTGATTCCACTTTCGCAGGTTTTTAGGTAAGATAAATATTGTACGCAATGCAAGAGCAGCACATTTATTTATTTTGCCCGCCTTTCTCGCTTTTTAGTACCTTCACTGTTGACGCTGTTGCCTCGTCCGCGTGTCCAAAGGATGTGATTTTGTTTCCGTTGAACGGTGCTTTGCAAACCTTCGAGGATGAAAAACGTACCGGTGAGGCGACAAACTGTCGCGAGTGCAAATGCGGCTCAACAACTATGAGCGCGAACGCGATTACGAACGCGGGTGTCGCTAAACTGGACTTGTGAACGACGAAGTTTAATTTTAGCGGCGAAAGGATTTGAATTTGCACAAATTTACCGCCACCGTCACGGTCATCGCAACTACTGTTCCGTTCTGCGACGGTGTTAGTGTGTTCAAATGCTTCGTGTACGAATAACGGACACAGCTACCGTTATGGGCACGTGTACACATCTGCGAATATAGCTGTGAGGAAAGGTCCGAAAGAATATACATTTGTTGTACATGCTTACATGTGTGCACATACATAGTTTCATGTGAGTGTATGTGCAAGCGCGCGTATTTGTAGTTTTGAGTTTCGTGTTTTGGGCATTTGGTCAGTTGCGCGCACACTTGACCAAACTGGACCAAAACTAAGTTGAAAGGAAACCACACCACCGATTTCAGTGACAGCCAAAAGTATAATGATTAATAGGCGAGCGACGCGCAACGGAGTAGAGCGACAAAGATGGCAACGGAGCAGTCAACTGCAATCCGCAAGAAGAAGCCGGTGAAGAAGGAAAGCCGTTGACCGTATCGGACAATCCCGCGACGTTCTACACGGGCAGAATGTTGCTGTGGTGTCCTGAAAATCACACACACACACAGAAATATGTATGTACGCACGTATGAATGAATGCTTACAAACCGCCTCACGTACATACATATATGCATATGTATGTATACGCTGCGTGTATGTTATGCACATGCATGAATACCTTCTTTTAAACATTTATAGGCACATGTGATTGAGCGCGAGAAAGCTAAAGCAAACGTGAGCTCATTCCTTTATGCATATATGTGTGTACTTACATACGTACACACTTACGTACCTACCGATATTTGTATAAATGTATGAACATACGTATGTAGATACATAGATATTGGCAAAGTGGTGGTCATTGTCACAATTCTGACACTCGGCATCGTTGCTCACATCCTTCTTCCTTCTTAACGGCACCAATTCTAGATTCAACGACGGTTGCGAGGACAAAGAAGACGACGTCGATGACTGCGACTTTGACTTCGACAGCGACTGAGACTACAACGATGTCGGACACCGTACGTGTACATGCATATATGCTTACATATGAGTTTACGTACATATACTCATATGTACGTAGACATATGTATGTGCATCAGGCCTATCACTTGGTTAGGCAAGCATATTTAGTTGGTTGGTAGGTTGAATAGATGGATGGATGGATATCTGTATGGATATATTGGACATCAATGCGTGCAAGCGCTTATTTACAATAGATATTTCATACAAACTTACATACGAATGTAAATACATATGTACATATGGTATATGTACATATGTATATTTAAATCTAAATACATATGTAAGTAGGTATGCATGTATGTACATTTATCTCCATATGCAAACATATCTACATATACATACATATGTACATTTCTATTCTCGTCTGCCTGCTTTCTCGGAATGTTTACCTCGACCCAAGTCGAGACATGTGATGTTCGCGTAGTACGATGAAATTAAAATCTTAGTATGATGCGATGTGCGAATGCGTTTCGGCGTTGGACTCATTTTTGGCCAGTCCGAAGAAATGCAATACCGGTTATAGTGGCAGGAATGAGCTGCGTAAAGAAACCTTATATAGTACATACATATGTATATATGAACGCAACAACACCGAGTCTGATGAAATATTCTTAAAGCCGAAGACATTTTCACTTATATGTAGTCTAAAGCTGAGATCACACGATTGCCGCAAATGCACCAATCTGGAACAATTTTTATTGTGCTGTATTGGAGCCAATAAAAAAATTTTCCCAATCAAATTCTGTACCGTCACACGGTTGCCCCTTTTTTATACAATTTTGATTGCCGCAAGTTGGTGAAAAGAAATATAGTGACAATAATTGCCCCAAACTTATCACACGATTGTTCTAACATGCGGCAATCGTGACAATAAGATGTTTCGCTGACTTCTAAATTCTGCTTTGTTCTTTGTTGTGTAAAAATTACGTATTCTTAAAAAGAAAAAAAGAAAATTGCATCTAATTTGTATATTGTGGGCTCATTTTATGCATGTTCGTTGTTGTTTGAAAGCAAAGAAGCAAAAAACATGAGTCCAATGAAAACTGACGCATTTATTTAGAAGTTTGAGTGTAAAGTTTTTTTAATTTTCGACGATAACTGCAGCTTGCTATGTGCAGTTCAAGTTGCAAGAGTTTTCTTTTTAATTTTTTACGAAGAGTTTTTTTTTTATTAATTACAAGTAAAATCGGTACAAAATAATTATGTATGTTTAAATTAAAGTTGTGAGTTTATATAATTTATGTTTGGAATGGAATTTTATAATTATACTAGTAAGCCCGGGCAAACGTTGTCCTGCTATACACCGATACATAGGGAGGTTACATGCATCGTAGATATTATGGATCTTCACATCGAAGCTTGGTAAGATAGTGATACGCATACAAAATACATGAGAAAAAATTACAAAACATCGAGTTACCGAATACCGAGCTCGATATGAAGACCCATATTGTATCTTACGTTTCATTTGCTATCGAAATTTACAAAAGATTGTTATTGTTGTTCACTACGTGTACCAACCAAACACACCCACAAAATTTCATTGAAATCGGTGAAGCGGTTCGGAGATTAGCGTAAACGGGCTCAGTGACACGGGCTTTTTATATATTAAGATGTACAGCTCGCAGCAAAAGATAGCACCTCAAAATTTTTATCAGTCTTGACTTTTTTCTTCTGTTTCTTTCAAACTTTATACAAAAATTATAAACATTTCTTAAACTTTTGATCACAATTCAATGGTTTTTAATTTGGATTTTTTAGAAAAAAATGTTGCTAAGCAGTTTACAAAGTAATTTACATAGAAAAAAGTGCATAACACCGTCAGCTAAAAAAATGATAAAAAATCAAAACAATTTTTTAGCAACTTCAACAACAGATAAACTTATATAGTCATATGTGGGCGGTATCACGCTCATTTTCCAAAATTCTAAATAATGTTACTTACTTTCAGGGGATTGTTATTAGTATAAATTTTGAGTAAATTAGCGTCCTTAAATTTCGAAATATAGAGGTTTCAAGCATTGCTAAAATTTACCGTTAAATGAAAAGTGACCGTTATTTAGTCCGATTTCAATAATTTTTTTTTTGCTTTTATGTGGCAGGCACAATAACCATACCGAGTTTGGTACAAATTGGTACGACAGTTACCGAGATACAAATATCTGATCATAAGTGGGCGGTGCCACGCCCATTTTCCAATTTTTTTGTCATAACTGCATTTCTTGGTAAAGAATTGTTGGAAGCATCAATTTTGAATAAATTAGCTGTCATATTTACTGATTTATCGAAGATTTCATATTCTAAATTACGGTTATATGGGACGTGGGCGTGGTTATTATCCGATTTTAATCATTTTCAGCCATTTGGTATGTTGTACCAAGGCCAAAAACTGTGCCA